ATTCTACCATCAGAATTCCACTTCTGTCCAAACACGTGGATAATAGAGTAGGTTGACAGGTCGTCGAATTAGAAATTTCCGACGAGGTTAATGCCAAAGAAGTGCCAGATTTTTAGAGAGAGAAAGAGAGTATTTTGTTTTACAGTGAGCATTGCTTCCTCCTTCTCTACCGACTCCTTGTCAGACTCGACAAGGTTTCATTTATTCTGATTTATTTATCTGTTTCGATTACGTATATGGAAAGAGGTGCAAATTTGGATTAAAAAAATGTAAATCATAAAATAAACACATATATATAGACATTAATTTTTCCTTTTTGCCGAATGGTCCTTCTACCTTAGTATCGTTTTCATTGGACCCACAAATTTGCAGAGGGGATTAATTAATAAGTTTCTAATTTTTTTGTCCTTTAATTTTTTTCAATATTGAGAATGCATTTGTTGTAATGTGATCATTATGAATTAAATTCTTCAATAAATTTTTAACATGAATTTGGTGGATTATTAATATTGATGATCTCAATATTGGTTTAGCCCGATGAATAAGCCCTAGGATATATTTTTCCAACTTGTGTCACCATTACGTTTTCTTCCTCGGGAATTACTTCTCGACCATTGTGCTTTCCTCGAGATCATGACAAATCTAATACCGTGCAACTCTTGACTCAGTAAGACTCTCCCCCATATCAAGGCTTATCCAAACCTAAAAGAAAGAGAGTCCAAGTGTTGGTATGTTACTTCATCCTAAAAGGATTCTACCATCAGAATTCCACTTCTATCCAAACACGTGGATAATAGAGTAGGGTGACAGGTCGCCAGAATTAGAAATTTCCAACAAGGTTAATGCCAAAGAAGTGTCGGATTTTTAGAGAGAGAAAGTATTTTGTTTTACAGTGAGCTTTGCTTCCTCCTTCTCTATCGACTCCTTGTCAGACTCGACAAGGTTTCATTTATTCTGATTTATTTATCTGTTTCAATTACGTATATGGAAAGAGGTGCAAATTTGGATTAAAAAAAATGTAAATCATAAAATAAACACACATATATATATGGACATTAATTTTTCCTTTTTGCCGAATGGTCCTTCTACCTTAGTATCGTTTTCATTGGACCCACAAATTTGCAGAGGGGACTAATTAATAAGTTTCTAATTTTGTTGTCCTTCAATTTTTTTCAATATTGAGAATGCATTTATTGTAATCTGATCATTATGAATTAAATTCTTCAATAAATTTGTAACATGAATTAGGTGGATTATTAATACAAAGTGAAATTTGATTTTATTTTTTTTGGTAATGTGATCATATGCAATAAATTTGTTTCCGTAGCTTTTAATTCGTAGAATTTTCTTATGATTCAAACAAATACTTTATTTGACGATCTTTTTGTTACTCATTTATTTTTCTTTCCCTTAATTTTATCTTGCTTAATTCACGATTTGATAACTATCAAATCATTTTAATATAAATATTCCAAAATTCGAACTCGAGATTCATACTATTTGTGTACAATCTTAAATGCTCAATTTTTAATTTTTTACATGTGAATTTGGTGATGGTTAAATTGCTTGCTTTGTTTCCCTTTATAAAAAAAGACAGATCTCCAAATTCATTATTCTTTTTTATTTGTTTTGTTTTGTTAATGACATTTTTGAATAGTGTATTGATATGAAATGTGTGGTTAAAAAATAAGAAAACATTTTGGGTTTACTTTTAATATTATTATATTGAAGAATGCATGATTGAAATGTGATTAAAACACTATTCCATAATGCATTTTTTTTTTTTTCCAAAAAATGGAGTTCAAACAAGAGCTAAACAAACCTTTCTTCTATTCAATCTTTTGAACAGACCGATCACCGCATAAGTAGAAAGGGTTTTGAAGCTAAGCGACTTGATCTTGTGCTTTGCTGAGTACCCTTCTATTTTGAGCTTGGCCTCTCGACCAAATTTTAATTCTGATCTTGAATACTATGTAATTTTCGTTTACAATCGAAAGGATGTACATTCGTTAGATGCAGGGGTTCGTATGTAAAAGTAGAATATTGTCGTTGCACAAGTAAAATAAATAAAAAGACTTTATTATAATACAATTAACAAAATTAATTTCCTTATAATGAGGGTTTTGGCATCACTTTCTTTACTTGAAGTTTTGTCCTTGTCTGTGGGCACTCGACAACACGGTATTAACATGAATTGGGTGGATTATTAATACAAAGTGAAATTTGATTTGATTTGTTTTGTTTTTATTGTAATGCGATCATGTCCAACAAATTTGTTTCCGTAGCTTTTAATTCGTATAATTTTCGTATGTTTGAAACAAATACTTTATTTGACGATCTTTTTGTTACTCGTTTATTTTTCTTTCCCTTCAATATTATCTTGCTTAATTCACGATTTGATAACTATCGAATCATTTTTGAAATAAATATTTCAAAATTCGAACTCGAGATACTATATGTGTACAATCTGAAATGCTCAATTTTTAATTTGTTACATTTGAATTTGGTGGTGGATAAATTGCTTGATTTGTATCCCTTTATTGTTAAAGCAATTTTATAAAAGACAGATCTCTACATTCATTATTAGTACCTTTTTTATTTGCTTTGATAATGACATTAAACAAATCTTTCATCTGTTCGATCCTTTGAACATACGGATGGCCATTAACGGCGTAAGTAGAAAGGAATCTAATTCCTCTTGCAAAAGTTTTGAGTTTTGAAGCGGATGACTGCTAGTCTGCCACGTCCTTTAAATTTGATACGAGTGACTGTCTTTCCCTCGAAACTTGAAGTGGCAGTTGTATTATCAAACTTGGAAGCTCGAAATGATTTTACATACGCCACTCATTTCTATCAATTGTGAAAATTTTAATAAAACATCATGTTCCACTTTAATAGGCAACATTACTCTAACGTCGAATAGAGCATCTTTTTGGATATTGTGCTTTGCCGAGTACCCTTTTGTTTTGAGCATGGCCTCTCGACCAAGTTTTATTTCTGATCTTGAATACTATGTAATTTTCACTTACGATCGAAAGGATGTACATTCGCTAGATGCAGGGACTCGTATGCAAAGGTAGAATATTGTATTTGCACAAGTATAATAAATAAAAGGACTTTCTTATAATGCAATTAACAAAAGTAATTACCTTATAATGAGGGTTTTGGCATCACTTTCTTTACTTGAAGTTTTGTCCTTGTCTGTGGGCACTCGACAACCCGGTATTAACGGTTGAATTTTGACTTAATTCGATTATTAAAACAACTTATTTTTCAGGTTAATCACGAAAATGACATTTTAAACACACTAGTGATAATCAATCGCAGCATTGGCAGTTCAGTTCGCAAACGAATCTCAGCCATTAAATTGTGTAGTAAGAATCATAGAAAATATTAGCGAATAAAGGGGGGACCCTACCTCCAACTACCGTTGGCCTTCTTTGTCAATTTTAATTAGAGGACCATAAATCTGCACGTTTTACGTGACAACGTTGGATCATGAGATTTAATCCTTATTTCTATTAGAATATAAACTTGTACATTACCATAATAATAAAACAATAATAATTTTTCCCAAAGTATAGACTATTTAATATAAAACCTTGTTCGATTTTGCTAAAAATAAGATTTTTAGTAGATTTTGACAAAAGTTGATGAAATACGCAGCTAAAAAGGTGTGAATCTTATGAAATTTGTGATTGAAAATAAGTTTGAGAAAAAAAAATTTTATAAAATGGGAACCAAACATGGATTTATTTTGAATAATTTTTTGCTATTTTAAAATTATAATCCATATTTCTCTGTTTTCTCATTAACCGCGCATTTTTCAATAAAATAATATTACACGTAAACTCAAAATTTTTTCTTCTTTTTTAATCACATATTTTTTTAAAAAAAAACACTATTACAAAAAATATAATTTTAATAGAATCGAACTTTTGCAATTGATTTCAAATTAATCATACAAACAATTCATAGCTCCTGTTTGATGAAGATTAAAATCAGATTTTGGGTAAATTTTGATAAAAGTTGATAAAATGCGTGGTTGAAAAGTAACCCAGTCTCAATAAATTAATTTTTGACTTTGTTTTAGATTAAATTTTAATTTTAATTTTCACCAAACATGACTTTATTATGCAAACAATAATTAATTATGTAAATATAAGGTCAGGGCTTTGCTTAGCGAGCTTTCAAGCTGATTATAGCCTTATGATGTTTACATAACACCTAACAAAATCTAATATAAATTAGAAATATGGTTCCTATTATAGGAAGTTTTAGGGTGGTTTTGGAAGAAACATTATTTTTTTCCTTCTCATTTTCAACCACACATTCTTCAATAAAATAATATTTTTCATCACATCGATAACTTTTCATTTTTTTCAACCACATATTCCCCATCACATCAACAAAACAAATGCATTCTTGGAACAAAAATATGCACCAAACATGAGCTAGAATAGTGATTTTTTGAAAAAATGTGTGATTAAAAAATAAAAAAAAATTTAAATTTATGTATAATATTATTTTTTTAATGAGGTTTTGGAAGAAATATATATATTTTAAAATAGTGATTTCTTCAAAATTGTGTGACTTCAAAAAATATTTTAATTTACTTATAATATTTATTTTTATTTTCTAAAATTTAAAAAAATACATTTTAAAAATAATGTTGCCCAAACAAGATTAAATAAAAATAAAAATAAATTTCTCACAACTTCAAAAAAATTTAAGAACACCATCATCAAGATTAAAGAGACTTTGAAACATATTGAATTAATTAAAAATTAAATAATAACCTTTAATATTAGAATTGTGGAGGCCAATTCCGAAGAATTGGACCTCTCCAAAGATTAGTGTATGCCACTCATTGCAGCGAACACACGGTATTCTTTAGTAAAAGGCGAAAGAATAGTTCGCTTTGTGTTCACTGCGTGGCTGCATGAAATTTAGGGAATTCACAATGGGCATTTTAAAGTAGTTTACATCTCGGTTAACTTTACTCATCTTTCGATGTGGGATTTGTTTACTTCATTTCCTCAGTCTCCACCCCTTTTTCTTAATTGTTCTGCTTCTCTAAGGCATATCATAGCCTAAATCCTGATTCCACACAATACAATGGAAGTCCATTCCTTCGTCTCTTCACTCTCTTCAAATTCGAAGACAGGTGAATTTCCATCTGTAGCAAACGGGACAAGAAGCACCCCTCTTTCCATGGTGCCCTTGATAAAAGGTTCACTGAGTTTGAAAGGTTCAGTAATGAAAGATGCAGGACCAGCAAGAATGACAAGACGAGCAATTTCTCTAAAAGCACTGACGGGAAGAATTTTCTTCTCATCTACACGAAGCTCAAGGATTGAGAGATTTTCCTCTCTTGAAAGTTTGGCCGACTGAGAATTTTTAGAAATGTTCTCTCTGTAATAAAGAAATGCAAAAATAGAGAATGCTCCAAAATCTATGCCAAGACCATTGATGATGTCAGGAACTTCAGCCGCTCTTGTTGAATTAGCCAGTGCGGCAGTGCCCCAATTAATTATGCGAAAGCTATTAGTCCTCCAAGAGAAGCACTTGCAATGAAAGTAATATAAAAGAACATCCGGACAGATCAAAAGGGAGAAAGAACTTCACTTCACTTCATATTTTGGCTGTAGAACGGAATAACAAATAAAATGATGATTACAAGGTTGATTCACTTGTAAAGCAGAACCTGATTGCAAAAGTGTTCGGATAAAAAGAGTTAGACAAGACACTGAACAGTGGTTAATTACATTGTCATAAACATAAAACATGTTAGCAGTACTTTGTGCACTTTCCAGAATTATCTCAAAATAGGGAAGAGGCAAAATATTATACATCATCAGATAATTCTCAACTGAAATCTTAAGCATTTTTGGGAAAACCCTGATGCTATTAATGAAACAATCTATGTGCTATAAAGTTTTGGGAGATAATCATTCTCAAAAGCAGCAATAACCTGGATGGAAATCAGCTGCAGGATCCTACATTCTTCCTTATTTATCCCCGATAATGGACATCGACGCGACAAATGGTACATGGAATTTTTGTTCTACTTCAAAGATGACGAAATGGCTCATCACAGAAAGTTCAGCCGTACATTTGAAGTTATAAAAGAAATAAGCACTTTAGCATCCACAGACTTATTATGACATTAGTTTTCAGAGAGTCAGTGTTCGAATATGTTCAAGTAATCAGAATTCATAAAACATTAAGATGCATCACCAGACTCAACTGCCAGCCTGTTTTGTTCTAGATAATGATGCACCTACTTCATTCACTCTATTCCCAATTTCCGGTTAGAACCTAAAGTGTTATTCATCAAGACGTGATCGAGAATTTCTACCATGGAGGGAGTGAGTGCAAGAACCCAAAATGTGGTTCTTAGTCCATAGGTCTAGAGCACAGTCACGTGAAGAAGAATAAACCACGGTTTAATCACCTGCCAGATTAGAAAAGTAGGCAAAAAGAAAGTCTTCCGGACTTTGAGGCTTTAAGGGATAGTAAGGCTTTAGGAACTTGTCGTGGGATACTCCCAGCCTGCGTGGGCTAAATCTGTGAATCTTACCTAATAACTATTCTGAACTGTGCTATAGGTACGTGAATTCAAATTTCTGTACTAGACAGAATACACATAGCAGTGGGGGGTTTTTCCAATATTTTAATTACATGGGGCCACCCCATGTGAGTGAAATTCAAAATTCTGTATCAATTCTAGTTTTTTCCCCTATACTCACAACATTATTCAACCATTCATGACCCTACATGTTTTTACCCCTCACAAAAATCTAAACACCACAACAGTGAAATTGAAGTCTTGCAGCTATAGGCTTTTAGCCATCACATATATCGGTCTAATGAATGATGGGTTTACACTTTACATACAGCCACGGTGTTTACATACCCAAAGGTTCATAATACAATTTCCAGATTTTAAGTTTTAAACGTCTTATAATACGTATGGATATGGATATTATTTTTTTGTTCAGTCAGAGTATTGAGAAAGAATTATGATTTCTTGTACACTTGCGGTTAAAACCATTTTTGACATTCCGCTTATGTGTCAAAAATCTAGCCATTAATTGAGAAAAGTATTGTTAAAATCAACGTCAAAAAAAAAATTGTCAATTCATATAATGTCAAACTTGTTGTACAACATGATATACATGATTGATTGGAAAATTACTTAGTCAAAAGTAACTCGGAAATTATTTGATATTATTCAGTTATAGTATTTAAATTAAGGGACGACAACAAAAGGAGAGGGGGCCACTCTTGTCAAGATTTTTGGAAAACGAGGTAAGATTGAAATTAAAAATTTATTTAATTTGTCACTAAACCATCCTATTGAACTTCAAAAATATTACGAGTTTCACAAACTTAAAAAACGTCAACTAATATGTCATTCGATCACTCACTCATTGACCTAGTCCGTTAACTTTTAAAACTATGAATGATGGAGTAGTGAATAGGATAACATTTTAGTAAGTTCAAAGACGAATTGAAGAGGTTTTAAAGTTCAACAGCAATTGAAAAACATTTAAGAAAAAGTTCATTAGCAACTCAAAGAGCTTTTACAGTGCAATGGTAATTGAGAAACATTTTAGGAAGTTCAGTTACAATTGGGATGCTTATCTCATGTATGTGAGAACTAGTATTACACTTATTTAAGAGACAACTTTGCTCCTTTATTTGTTAGAGACCAACTTACTATTACCTCAATAGGTTGGGGACCAACAGTGAAAATTTCCCTTTCCAATTAACATCACATATGTCCATTTTCAATCTAGTTTCCAACCAACCTAGAAAAATATCACCCTTATCCAGCTCACAAGTAAACATAGCCACAAAAAGGCAGAAAAGTCAAAAAGAATTTCCAATTCAATGCCTTCTTCTTCACAGGGTTTCAATCACCTCTATATATCATCATCAGTCTGCAGTCAGGGAAGTCACATACTCACATCCTGCCTGATTCTAAACCCTAAGGCAGAATCAACAGTGATCCTGGAATACATTGAAGAAACCTGGCCACAAAATCCATTGCTTCCGAGTGATTCCCACGAGAGGGCCATCGCTCGATTCTGGATGAAATTTGTGGAGGATAAGGTAATCTATGCTATGAGTTTACATCAACCATGCATATAAACAAATGACCAGCTTTCCTTCTACATGATGATTAATATGATATAGCTTTTGGGGAAAGGTAGTACATATGAAGATGCCACTCATTTCTAGTCTTCATTAACTAGCAACACAATAAGATCTTGGCTTCATCATTTTTTTTTTCTGCAGAGCTTAATCATTCTATTTGCTTGGTCTAATCATTCTATTTGCTGCTGTAGAGTCCAATATTTGGGGCATTCTATGTGACTGTTGGTGAGGAACAAAAGAAAGCAGTAGAAGAAGCCAAACAACAGCTGAAGATCGTAGAAGAGCATGGTCTTGGTGACAAGAAATTTTTCTGTGGGAACAACATAGGACTGACAGATATAGCCTTTGGATGGATGGCTGTCTGGAATGACGTAATTGAAGAGACGGCGGGAGTAAGAATTATGGAAGCAAATGAATTTCCTCGCCTACATGCTTGGGTTAAGAACTTTAAGGAACATCCCGTTTTAAAAGATAATCTTCCAGATCGAAACAAAATGTTGGTGTACTACAAGCACAAAAGAGACATATTGCTTGCAAGGACATAGATACATTGCAGTTCACCTTCTTGACAGTCACTATGATTTGTTCTTGGGGTCTACATCGGGAAGATTGGATAGTACTGAACAATCTTAAGAAGATAAAATCTTGTTTGTCACAATCGTAGTAATATGTACCAAATAAGCACTTACTAGTCGTCACATCCTCATCTGCACCAATCGTTGTTTTGTTGGTTAGCAAATCAGCAACAAGTCTACAATCCAAGCTTCTATGAAAAATCTCAATCTCTTGCTTTTACTCAGCTTATAATCTACCGTGTCATTTCTACACAAAAGGATGGTCCAGTAGAACATTAGCTTATTAGTATTTCTCTATTCCTCCATTCTTGAGACCTGATTTTTGAGAACTTGGTTTTATTTCTGAAGGTGGAAAGTGGCACCTAAATCTGCTCAGAAATCAATCACAACTAGGACATAAAAGCCAATGACGAGAGAGAAGAGTGTGAAAGAGAAATTTTTTTTTCATAAAATATGTGAAGTTGCCAATTATTTTGCATATATAGCCATGCAGGTTATAATTATATAACGAAATTCAAACAATCTAATTCCAAGAAAATAATAACATGCAATACACTAAGGTAAAAAGTCAATCAATTAGATAATTAGAACTCTTGCAGAAAGGCAAACTAAGCACTGCAGTTGCTTGACAATGCATTAATGAAACAGACGAATTTAGACACCGAGTTTCTCTCCAGGTTAATGATACTTAGGACTTATTGAACTAAGGTTGACTGGCTAACATTCTCACAGACAAAACCAAGTAATTGCCATTCTCAAGTGTCCATCCATAAAAATAACCAAATGGTTCAGTAGACAAGGCAAGCGCCAGTAACATGCAATATCTGGAGAAAGATTCATAAATTAGACGTAGAACCAGTGAAGAGATTTGAAATGAGCATTTCCGATACTCGAGAGTTAAGAATGTACTCACAACAGAATGAATTTAGATGCGATATAAGCAAAGGTGTATCTCGGAAAAGATACAAGTTGCCATAATTTTTAGAAGATATTAGTCATAAAGTTATCATTGAATTTTGGGAGGACTGAAAGGAGCTGAGGGGGAAAAATCTGTAAAGTGATATTAAGCTCAGTGCTAGCTCTGCATCTTAGTGGCTCCAGCTTCTGATAGCAGCAATCGAAGTTCTCCTTTACGGTGTAATTTGACAGTATCTACAGCATTGAAAAAAAAAGAAAGTTAAAAAAACTTCAAGTTAGAAAACATGATCAATGTATTGTTAGGTTCAATCATTCATGTGATCAATGAAATTTTATAAATTTAACATAAAGTACTACAGGACTGCAACCAGACCAGCAAATTGGATGTCCAATATTAAGAAACAACATTTATTCCCCGTCCCAAATTGAAATTTTTGTTTGACTTTGCTCTGCAATTAATAAAGCGCACTAAATACTAATGGTTTCGCCTCATCTTTCTACAATTACACCACCTAATGGACGTTGTTGTAAACTTAATAGTTACACTTATTACTTGTAGGAAATAAAAAAGCATTTTAACATAATGAAGGCTTAATAGAAATCTAGAAACCTACTATTTGAATGTTTAGATGGATTTGCAATAAAACTAGGATTGGAAACGAGTATGTATGAGAACAGGTGTTATTGAAGATAAATTGCGGGAGAACAAATTCAAATGGCTTGGATAAACTCGAGGAAGGCCACTAGATGACCCTACTAAGTGACTGTACTAGGGACAAGTCAACTTATAATGATATGGAATAAGGCAATTGAGAAGTATCCGAGACTTATGGTTTAAATTTTAATGTTGGACATGGCAAATAAAATGGAATGCAACAAGGATCTATATAGATAAACCTAGAGCAAATAATACGAATGTGTTAAATTAAGATGTATGTAATTTTTTTTGGGGAGATTTGAGTAATTCTCTTTTCCTTTTATGAATATATTGTTGGTTGGGCATCATATTGTATTTTAACATAAAAATATTCAAAAAAGGTAGTTCACGCAAAAAATGTGAATAATAGACCATAAAAGATTATGTTGAAGAAACCAATTAAAAGATGGAGAAAGTCAACGGCAATTTATTAAAAAATGAAAGAAATTCATCTAAGAGAACCAGTGGAGTGATACAGATAGCAACAACTAGTAAATCACAATTCTTAAAAAATGAAAGAAATTCATCTAAGAGAACCAGTCGAGAGTCGAGTGACAAAGATAGCAACAACTATTAAATCACATCACAATAACTATTTTCCAGAGCACGAGGGTATATATTTCTTTGTTATTAATGTACTCTTATTTACCAATTTGACACTCAGAAAATTTGCATTAAATGTGTAGCACGGCATTCAAATTTACTGGCAATTGCTATTTCAAATAATCTATACTTATTCCAACGGTGGCATACAACATGAAAAACTCAGTTGTTTAACACGGAAGTAAAATGTTCTTTGCTGAAACTATCGTGACAATATAACACAGGATGTTGAGAAGAAAATTTACTTTTTATCTGGAGAAACTACTTCAAAGTTTAACCAACGTCTTAAGGACGAGAAATGTCAGAAATAGTACCTGTGCAACCACCAATGTGTTTCCCACCTGCTCATGAGAAACAAATATTAGTTGTAATACCCTTCACAATCTTATTTGAAAATATGATACTTCAAAGCTGAAATTGTGTGAAATTAAAAATTGTCTTATTTTTTAACAAAATAACATAACATCTCTATCAGCAAAGATGTCTTTCATTCCATTACCAACGGAACGGTTTGCTACAACGTATCAGGTAAATTGCATTACTTCATAATGAGCTGATATGCAGATCTAGCCTATATCAAGTGCTTCTCAACGAACATAGTTATAAGTTTGTAACTTGCAAGTTAACCAAATTGTATAAAGTTATAGTGCATAGTAACAAGTTTATATATATGTTCAACATTCTTATTAATGTGTGACGGAATCTTAAAGCATTTTTAAATGCTTCTTACCAATAAAAACATTTGGAACAGTATGTTGTCCAGTAAGCCTCTCCAGAGTCTTCTGCAGTTGTCGTCCTTGGGGACCTGAAAAATATTAAAAAAAAAAATTGTCATAATGGATGTACATTCAATTAAAGGTGGAAATTCTGTGGAAGGGCAGTCCAGATTAGGTCTCACACCTGATTTCATCTATCTTTTTCCACAAAATTTGTTATAAGATCTGTCCTATTATGAATTCTTATGTAGGATAAAACAACATAAAATCAGCATACATTACAAGAAGTTCCCAAGGAAAAAAATTCAAGCGACAGACCCCAAATTTGTTGATAATAATCCTTACTTCTTGTTGTTGTATTTGAAAAATTAAGCATATTCATATTTCAGAGATAGTAGTAGTGTATATAAACAATACAATACCATATTTACATTTCAGTATACCTCTGAATCAATTGCAAACATCTAAATGGTATCTTTTCTCTCTTTATGTTAACAACTGTATGCGAGGATTTTAGATAAAGTTGTGTAATTTATGTTGCCCACATCTTGTTATGGACACAAATCATCTCATGGAATTAGCTAACTAGACGCCAATTTTACTTGAAACTATCTTTTTTTCTTTTTATTCTCTAGTACTCAAAAATTGAGACATCAGTTAGAAGATTGAAGTTAGACAAAAAAATCTGAATAACAAACTAAAACTTACAAAAACTATCCCGGGTAATTATTAATATAGAAAATATGGTACAAGATTGGTCTTGGCAGTTGGCTCAATCCATCGATAACTCATTTTCTGAATAACACCAATATAATCAAAGAGCAACAGTTTATATCTTCATTTTCTATAATGCAGACACAAAAATGATCTAATCCTATAAGGTGTCTTTTGCTGTGATCAACCCACAATACAACTCAAATATACAACAATCAATAAATGGGAGTTACACCCATAATGTTTAGAGGCCAGTAACCAAATTCGAGAACAGAAAACTCAATATCAAAAAAACCATGTTGATTCCATCTGTAAGTTGCAATTATAATTTTTTTTTTTCCTTTTACCTTCAGAAATCACATTTGCAGCCGGTTTATCCCCTTTTTTTTTCCTCCTTTTACTAACACCATTTACATATTAATCTTAATTGTTTCAAGCATCTATTGAAATCATACCAAAATTTTAAACTTACCCATTTGGTCCAATTCAATAACAAGCGGCTCCGCGCCAAGCCTCTTAAACAATGATTTTACCTCCGAAGAGTACCTTCACCACAAAATTCAACAAAACCAACATAAAATCTCTCGAGAAAATCTTTAAATATGACAAAAATAAAAAACAAAGAAAAATCAAAGAGCACTTACGAGCACCAAGTTTTGGAGTAAACAACAACTGGGTTCTCAGTGACAATCTTCTTCACACTTTCCTCCAATCGGGATCCGAACGAACCGGATGACATAGCCCGAATCTTAGTACACCCACAATATCTCGATAGGGCTTTGCCGGACATTCTTTCGCCGCCAGCATTGCGGTGGCGCGTGAAATTTGAAACACAATAGGGAAGCTGGGAAAGAGTGAGAATTCGATTTTGAAGAGACTGAGTAGAGGATAGAGAAAGAGAATTGAATCCTCCAATGGTGAATTGAGACGTGCCAGCCATTGACGCCATTATTTTGCTGTTAATTTTTTTGTTATCGAAGCCACTTTTAGCAAATTTACCGCTTCCTCTCGCCCATGCTGCAGACTGCAGTTGCTCCGTTATTAGTGGACTGTGATGGCCTAAAATTTACTTAAATATTTTTCATTTTAAATCCATCTTTATTTAATTTTAAATAGTTATCAAAATATTATTATCAACATAATTTATGTCTATTGTAGGTTAATAATAATAAAATTTTAAATTTAATAGACTTACGTGCAGGGGTGGACCTACTTGAAGATTAGTGGGAGCCGTCGCCCCTACTCAACTTTCAGATTTCCCGAATTTTTTTCAAATTTTCAAAATTTTTTAATTTTTTTGTCCAGAATTTTTCCTAGGTTTTTGGTTTCACCCCAGCAAACATCTTTCGTGGGTCGCCCCTGCGTATGAGGATATAAAAACCTTTTTTTTTTTTCTAGTGCAAAATAGTTATTGAATTAGCTCCTGGGACACCTAGGTTTCTAATAAAATAATAAATTACTTTAACTAAATTGTCAGTTGTAATTTTAATAATGATATTGAGAGCTTGTTTGGGATAGATTTTTGAGGAAAGAATTGATTTTGAATAGTGATATGATGAGAAATGTGTGGTTGAAAAAGAAGAAAAAATTATTGATGTGATGTAAAATATTATTTTATTGAAGAATGTGTGGTTGAAAATGAGAATTGATTTACTGTAGAAATATTTAATCCTTCCCAAATAGGGCCTGAACATTGAACCATCGTTCCAATTTATTAAATATTTTATATGAAAACGGCTAAATATAAAAAATTCAGTATTAAAAGGTCGAGGACGACAGCACCACTTTTCACTGGCAGCCCATGCGAACTTTATCTACCAATTTTGACAGCTCTATTGTTACGTAAAGTTATGACGCCATTTTGATTCGGAAACCTCCTTTACAACAGAGGGCTAAATAGATTGTGTCCTGGAAGGATGGGGAAAAAAAAAAAAGATTCACTGAAACCACTTGTAAAGACATGTCGATAGTTGATATCAAGCTACACTATGCCGATTGTGGCTTATGGGTGTTGAACACTTGTGGGGTGGGGGGTGTTTGGTAGAGAAGATTTGACATATTTAGACAGTAAATGTTAATAACGAATAAAAAGAAACTAAAATCCTGTTCATTATTCCCTCTCCAATAAATGTACCTGAAGAACAAAATATCAAAGGCAAGGGAATGAAAATATTCTTCCCTATAATAGAACACTAACATATCAAAAATAAAGGAAGGGAGATAATATTTGATTATCTACTTCACAGTTCCAGATAACAGAAACAGAACTAGCTTTTCAGCTCAGTCAAGAAAGAAAGAGATGGAGAATGAGCTTACAAGCTGAAATGACAACCAGAAGAAAATTGGATATATGTAAAATTACAAGTAAAATAGATGGTACCAATTATAATTGGGTTAAAATCCAATTGCTTAGTACAATAATTTAATTTAAGAAAAAAAAATCAAGAAAAATATTGTTCCTCATCTGAAACACGCGATATAAGTCTAGAATCATGACTGACCAGGACAGCTCCCCCAGTGAACTCATCAAGTGCATCTGCCAGTGCATCAATGCTCTGCATATCCAAATGATTTGTTGGCTCGTCTAAGAGCAGAATGTGTGGCTTAGACATGGAAATGGAAGTGAAAACCACCCGGGATTTCTGCCCTCAGGACAATTTGGCAATTGGGGCGAGGTGGTTATGGCTGGGGAGTCCAAACTTTCCGAGCTTTGCACGAACTGCCTCCTGCTTGCTCCATTAGGCCCAACAATAGCAACACGAGTCCCCATATCAATGCCAACATCAACGTTGGAGAGCTTAAAATCCTCTCGCTTCGGATAACTGAAACTAAGTTCTATTAGTTGCAGAAGTGGTGGAGTTAGCTCAGTGGGTTCGGGAAAATGGAACTCCACAGTATAATCTCGCCATCTCTGAGGTGCCTCACTCACAGGCTCATCCTCATCAACCTTTCCCTTAGACTTGTTCTTAGATGCTGCGCAGCAGCAAATTTTGCTCGATCCTTGACCTTCTCCTGCTGAGCACGATTACCAGACCTCCTCGCAGCTTTTACCTGCTTGTCATAAATCTCAAACTTTTTGTTCATCTCTTTACGACGCTGCTCATATCCACTTTCAAAATCGTCGAAATTTCCACGATAGAAATGTAATTTCAAGTCGTGGAGATGAATAATTTCATTGCAAACTGTATTAAGAAAATCCCGATCGTGCGAAACAACAACAAGGGTTTTCTTCCACCGGGTCAAGTACTCTTCCAACCAGAGAACAGCTCTGAGGTCAAGATGATTGGTGGGTTCATCCAGCAACAAAAGAGTTGGCTGAACAAAAAGTGCCCTGGCCAAAGAAATTCTCATCCTCCAACCACCACTGAAGGACTTGGTAGCACAGCCCTGCATCTGCATAGTGAAACCCAATCCAGCAAGAATTTTAGAAGCCTGAGCCTCTGCAGCATCCGACCCCAGCAGCTGCAACTTTTCGTACAATTCAGCAAGCTTCTCACCCACGTCATCCCCATCGCGATCATCATCTTCATTATCTTCATTGGTGTCAGCAGATATATTCTGCAAGGATGCAACCTCTTGTCGAATCTTGACAAGTTCTTCATTGGCTGAAACAACTGCTTGAAGTGCTGTTCTATCATCACCGACGACCTCCTGTTCAACCAAAAGTACATCTATGTTTTTAGGAACGGGTATCTTTCTCCAAGCAAGGAGTTTCGATAGGGTAGACTTACCCATCCCATTTGGTCCAACCAATCCATACCTCTTTCCAAGAGATATCTTCACAGATGCATTCTTCAAGAGTTCTTTGCCACGAGCAGCCACAGAGAAGTTATCAATTGTTATATCTTTGACATTAGCATCGGCGTCATCTTGTCCATCAAGAATAGAAGTCCGGCTACCAATTACAACAGTAAAAGCATCACGATCATCCTTGAGGGCCTCCTGTTTGGCTAGCTCAGCAGCTTGTAAGGCAAACATATCCTTCTTTTCTCATTTCTTCAACTCTTTGTCACTTACGGCAATTTCAAGAGGCTTTCCATCACTTCTAGTACGCCTGCTTGGCTGTTTGAGGACCTCATTCTGTTGTTGCTCTTCCTCAACATCATCTTCATCATCAGAAGGAGGGAGATCAATATCATCAGTATAAGATGATGGTTTTGGAGGTGCTTTTGATTTGGGCTTGTTAGAAGTCGAGCTTGACATAGAAGATCCTTTTTTTGATTTATCAGGCTTCTGGTCCATGCTGGCAAGCATTGCAGAGACTGAGAGCTTTTCTTTAGTGCTCGACTTGGCCTTCATATTATTTCCAGCCTCATCTGGTTTCTTCTTTCCCATTGCGGTGGCTAATCAGTCAACAAAAAAGTCAAGAATCTTGTGTTGGTACGTTAAAAATCACACAAGTACTCTTCAACATGCTGATACTAAACAGTTTAAATGTACAAGGTCCATCACCCCACCCCACCCCACCCCACCCCAGAAACTCACTCACACCCACAACACAGAAAAGGTAAAAAGCTGTCAACCTAAAGTTCGGCATGTGAAGCATAAGAAAAAATATTTCATTGTTTCTTCGAATAATGAGAATGGATTATCATCATACAAGAAAGACCAGAATAAGTAGTCAGCAGACATGAAATGAGTAACAATGAAGAATAAAAAGAAGAAAATGAATAAGACTCCAACTTAAGCTGACTTCCCAGCTTAGACTATCTTGAGGGAAAATTGATGATGCCAGATCAGCTTTCCAGCTACAAGAACAACTACTCCTAACTAGTAAATTAAAATCGAATAGTTCATTGTTCTATCAAAAAATGGCATTAACAAGATCCAGTCTCTACCACTTCCAGAAGCATAGTCACCCTAAATTCTCATCCATCTGCCTAGGTTCGTGCACGTGCCTGAATTTCCAGCAGGCCTTGGTTATTTAGAAATTTGAAGATATACTGGGTTTGAATTCATATTGCTTTACAATAAAAAAAAATACCCTCTCATCTAGTGCCAGATTAGTTTCCCAAAAACATATTTGGGCCTCTAGTTTCATGGCAAAAGCATGCAATTTTCCAAATCTATCCAACCATAATTGAAACGAACGCCATATAAATTACATGCACAAATGGATTTTGAATAGGAAAAATAGTTCACAGCCAAATTTTAAGAAAGTTGATGCACGGCTAATATCAAATGTCCACTATGCAAAAGTTAATTTCTTGTATTACATGACATAAAAAAAACCATCCTTAATCGACACGTACGCTATATAATTATATGCACAAAAGAACTTGAATAGAAAAAATGTTAGCGGATTTAAAAAGGTTGATATACTGATAATATCAACATTATCACTACACAAAATTAACTTCTTGTATCGCAATACAAAAATAAACTATCATTAAGATGCCAAATCGATTGAGGCCCAAGCTCAAGAAAGTTGATATACAGCTAATACCCACATGCCCACGACACAAAAGTTTATAGTTCTTGTATTCCATGGAAAAAGACTATCATTAAGGTATCAAAGTCGACCTGAACACCACATAATCACACATACAAAAATTTCGATAAGGAAAATAGTTCATGGCCTAAATTTAAGAAAGTTGATATACAGCTAACATCAACATGCCCACCACACAAAAGTTAATTACTTGTATTCCATGGAAAAAACGAAAAAGGAAAGCATAACTAAGATACCAAAATCGACCCGAACACATATAATCGCAAGCACAAAAAATTGCCAAAAAATAGCCCAAGGCCCAAACTCAAGAAAGTTGATATACAGCTAACAAAAATATGCCCTCTACACGAAAGTTAATTACTTGAATTCCATGACAAAACAAAATATATTGAGAAGATACCAAAATTCCCATGAACCATGTAATTACTCGAGCGAAAAGAATTCGAAAAGAGAAAATAATTCAGAATAAAATTTCACGAATCTTAGGGCTAGTTCGGTAGGGATTAAAATCAGATTAAAATTGAAAAAATAGTCGTTATTGTTGACTTTTATTAGACGAATGAGACCCAATAACGGTCATATTTTCAATTTTAATTGGATTTTAATCCATACCGAACGGGGCCTTAAAGTGAATTCTGTAATCTAATATTGGCACACTAACTTGAAGAAAGGAGAAGCGTGAATTGTCCTGATAGTCTGATGTCAATTTTAAGTTGGTGAAATGAAATTGCTAGGATTTTGCCATCTAGGGTTTCATTTATATTCTCTTGTAAATTTTATAGAAAGTCCATTTTTTGTGTAGCAAAATCCTTTTTGTAATTTGTAGTTTTGGTAGTTAGACGCTGTTTGGTAGAAATGAAATGTGTGATTGAAAAGTTGTGAGACCGTTGGAAAATATTGTTAATATTAATTGTTTGACTTTGACTTGGAGTAAAATCAAATTTTAATCCGGATCAAACATGGGCTTAATTATTTTATTTATGGATTACAAAATTCTCGTATAGGTATAATCTCGATTCAAATGGGATGCGAAATTTTTTGCTCTGAGCGATAAATAGGATGGGGATGGAGATTGTGATCCCATCCTCGAATTTTCTGACCCTCTCGATTTTTTTATATTTATATTTTGATTTAAATCATATTTTAAAACATAAATATAATAATAAAAAACATATAAATAAACACACAATATAGGGAGACATTTTAATCCTCACCTGACTCCATTCTTGCTTCATCTTGTACCCCTCACAAAGTTTACTAGGGACTCTTCAGGTTAGCAATCCAAGTAGTGGAATGTTGTCTTGCAATTTCCAAGGGTGTCCTCAACTCTAATTTTAATAGATTTCTTAATATTTATAAATTTTTCATGGATTTTAAGGAATTCAATAAAATTTAACAGATTTCATAAGATTTGAATAAATTTCTATTTTGTAGATTTCAATAGATTTTCATGGATTTTATAGATTCTCATGGATTTGTAGACTTCTCTATTAAAATTAAAATTTCACTATACTATTTCAAGTGTATTTTTCATCTGTGAACCAAATTATGTCGGGACAAGCAATTTGATGCATATTATGTTGAAATATGCAAATTCTAATGGTTAATCAAGTCTATCTACACTAGATCTAAATTGCTTTTGAAATGTCACTTATGTCCCATCTCCCGCAAAAACAACTTTATTCGTAACATGATAAGAAATTAGATACTAAAAGGCCAAGTTATCTGATATTGAAAAAACCAAATTATTGTTTATTAAAACAAACTCATAAGTTGTCATCTAAAAGGAAAAAAATTGTAAACTTGTCTAAACAGAATTCAAATTTCATTACTCTTCGTTCAAAACATCTACCCACATATTTGAAGCTATATTTGTTCTCCATTCATTTGCATGATCTCTTTGTTGCTCTTGAGTTTCGATAATATTTTCATCCTCTTCAATTACTTGTAATGATGATGTAGACGAAACTTCACTATCTGATTCAACAGGAAATTCATCAGAACGACACTCTCTGCGAAGAAAATTATGCAATCCTGCACATGCTAACACCATCTCTGCTTTTGTTTTAAATGGAAATGGAGGTGCTGATTTAAAAATCGTGAATCGCGACTTGAAGATGCCAAATATTCTCTCAATTACGTTTCTCAAGCTAGCATGACGAAGATTGAATAGTTCATTAGCATTTTCTGGATTACGGCCTTGGCCACCAAAATCCTGGAGATGATACCAGACATCTCGAAATGGAGCTAAGAATTGACGATGATTGGGAAATCCACAAGAAAATATTTACCTAAGTATACAATTCGTGCATAAATCATCTCATGTCATGAAAAAAATGACTTGTAACCAATTGAAGAAAAAAAATAATTACCTCTTTGAATAATATAATATACAAAAATATATATTCAACTTCACCAACTAAGGAGGTAAAAAACTCATTAATGCCCCCCTATGATTTTTCCATTAGAGGAACCGGGTTATCATTGTTACAAGAAATTTATTTCTGTTAATGTTAGAATTATGAATTTCTTGAATGAACTTGACCCGAATGAAAAATATAATCATAATTCTAACATTTCTTGAATGAACTTGACCCGATTGAACAAAAAAAATCTATCGAAAACCCAAAGTGACAATCTTAAATGCATGCCAAATCCATCGAAAAATCTCAACATATTATTCAAAGTGATAGTCTTTGCAGATGGATTATGCGTAAACGGTAAACCTAGAAAATGGAACCATGTTAGAATTATGAATTTCTTAAATGAACTTGACCCGATTGAACAAAAAAAAAAAAATAGTGTAAAACATCCAAAAATCATCATCAATTGATAAATTATCATACATATACAAATAAAGGACAGAGAGAGAGGCTTGTTGAACCTGTCACGGCAAAGAGACAGAGAGGCGAAAAAATTATTGCCGAGAATGGAGTGAGAATCTGTGAAATTTTGAGGGTTGGATATAGAATTGTTATGGATTTTTGGTATTTATATTTATGGCTTGAAATCTATTAAAATCCATCAAATTATTGAAATCCTTCTAATTCAAGTAGCTATTGAGGATACCTAAATTTCTCAAGAATCTATTGAAATCTAAATTGAGAACATCTAAATTTTTAAGTATTTATAAAAATCTAAATTGAGGACACCTAAATTTTGATAAATTATATTTTAATCTGAGTTGAGGGCACCTCAATTTATATAAAGTTTTAAAATCCATTAAACTCTCGTTTGAGGACACCCCCCTTAGTCGCATTGTCAAATAACAAGAAAATCCCTTAAAATTATGAAATGCATAAAATGAAACACATTTTACGAAACAATTTAAATTTTGCTCACCCTTGGTTCGTAAAGATGGATTTCCTTCTCTCTTTTTTTTTATACCCAGGTGTCCATTTTCGGCGACTAATCATGGGGTTTACGCCTTGGCACCTCAAAATGCAGATCAGATAAACAGCGGGATGTACCCCAAACTGACCAGTCCAAGAGCCCCCCACTGATCTGCCATAGCGCCGAACGAGTCAAAACATGTTGCACATTGCCTTCCAGAAGAGCTCCTGTCTTCCAGGATAAATCATGCCTTTCAGAAGAGAGCCTGCCCTCCAAGAGTCCCACGAATTGAACTCGCAACCTCTGAACTGCTAGAAACCTAGAGTTCCGTCCTTTACCAGTTGGGATGTGCCACCGGAGGGTTGAATTTCGTTTTTTTCTTTGAAGTAGAAGTCGTGTTAGTTGTTTCTATACCCCTTTTCTGAATCTTCCGCCCTTTGGATTCCATTTTTGGCCAATAAACAGTCCATCAAGGACGAGAATTATAAGCATTTGGATTCTTGTTTATCTCAATGGAAGAATCATTCTTCTATCAGGGAACAAATTAAGC